TGTTTATGTTCTTTTCTGTAATGGGCCTTATTCCGGGCCCATCCTTTCTATGTTATGTTCTTTGTAATTTCTTGCCCAACTAAGGGCCTCCTTGTAATTATTCAAATWTATCTTAATAAAATAGTGTTAGGGTGCTGAGAGGGAGTAATGTTTGAAACTCTCACTCTCAAAACCTCATTGCCGAACTCTCAAAACCTCATTGCCGAACTCTCAAAACCCTCATTGCCGAACTCTCAAGGTCTATTTTCTTCAGTTTTCTTCAAAGACGTCAAGATGCTACCAGAGGAATCTAATGCGAAATACAATGAGGTAGTAGACAAACATAGGCACAAGGTGTTCCAAGAAGGAGATCTAGTTATGGCTCACCTCAGAAAAGATGATTTTGAGTTTTTGTGTCTGAAATGATTTCCTTTTTATTGAATGTGATTTTTTAGGAAGTTTTAGTTCAATTAAGAGTTTACTATTTTAGTTGGGAGTTGTGTATATATAAGACTATTGTACATGTTAATCATATAGTGAATTGAATACATGTTTCTAGTGACTTGTAGGGTTGATGACAGAAAATTGAAGAATTTTGTTTTATTTAGATGTGGTTGAAAGTCAAGGATTTGAGTCGATAATTTGTGAGCACCATCAGGTATACAAGGGGAGCTGACTGTTTTTAGGTGATCATTTGTGAGAAGTTGATGGTTGGTGTTTTCAAAATGTGAGGTGGCAGTGTTCCTTTGTGGGTTGTGGTTATGGATCATTTTTAGAGTGAACTCATGTTGTTTAATTCTGATTGGTGGTCCTTATTTGTTGATAAAGAAATGCAGAAATGTGTCTTTGTTGGATTTTGGTTTGATTTTTTTTCCTGATTTGGTCTTGTTGGGGATATTGTTGTTGATGGGGGTGGTTGGAGTGACTGCTTTTATCTCACACATGTAAGTTGCTGCATATGCTTGCTGGACAGGTGTCTCACACTTATTGTGTGTTCAGTACTTGTGGGTAGCTGATTGAAAAACAATGTTATGGTCTTCTGGAAGTGCACATTTTATTGGTGTTTTAGCAGGTTTTTTTTTATTGTATGATGTACCTTTCTGTTAAACTGACCATTGATGTTGAAATTTTGATTTCACAGACTGGAGCCATGAGGCTTGGCCGGGATGCTATTGTTCTTACCCAGACTAGTAACTCCAGATCTGTAGCTTTTCTTTCACAATCATTAAATGCAGGGAGAGATGTAAGAACCATTAGATTTTGTCACGTATGTGCTTAAGGGTTTTACTTTCATCTAGATGTTCATATTCTGGTTTTAATGCAGAATGTGGAAATTCCTATTATAAGCTACTGCAGACAGGGGCAATTCATGGAAAGGGACACAAGTGTTCAGTCTGAAGCTTTGGCAGAGTATAACTTGAAATGTATTAGAAACTACTCACCTTTCAATGAGTATTTTATTGGTGAAAAATCAGCATTATTTAATGCTGAAGGCACAGGAACACAAATATACATATGGAATTTAGATGAATGGGGATCGGATTATTGTTTGGAATGGCAATCTGGGAAGAGTGGGGAAAGCTCCTCCAACAAATGTGATATACTAATTCGTTCTAGACGGATCAGGTCTCGTCCTGGCCAAATTAGCAAAATGGTCAGTAATCCATTTTTTTCATTAATGAAATTATTTTCCAAGGGATTCTGAAGCATTACTTTTCTAATGGAAGAATATCTAATAACTGTATAGTTCTTTTCATCTTTGTATAATTTGATGTTCTTTTAATATGATATTTTTATATTGAAATTCGTTGAACTTCGTGCTTATACTTTTTTATGCATTGATATGGTCCTCTGATTTTGTTGTCTTATTTAAAGGTTCCATTAGATTATTCACTTCGATCTTACTTGGAAGTCATCTTTTTAGATCCACGAATGAAGATAAGTGTTCAAGGTTCATTAGTAAGTCCTTGTTCCTTGTTATATGCTTTGCATATACTATACTGCTTCAAATAGAATTTTGTTTTTTTATTCTTTTTACAATATCTTTTTGACAGGTTAAAAGTCGACCCCTGGCAAAGTTCCTAAGTAAGACTAAGATTGTAAAAGGCGAGATAATGGGAAAACCTGTTAGCTTGACTGTTGGACGCTGTCAAAAAGAGTGGGAGCGGGTGAATTGTGGAATATTTTTGTACTGGCATGGCCGCTTGATTGAGGTATGATTCTCTCTTTGCGATCAAAACTTCTCAAGAAAGCGTAAAATTTAAATTTTCTCTGTGATCAAAATTTCCCATTTTGTAGGCCTATAAAAGGGTTGGTGGAATGGTTCATAATGCAGACATGGGCCGAGGCATAATTGGTGTCATAGATGTTACAAATGTAATGGTAGGATATTCTTTTCTGAAATAATTATCTCTGGCAAAGTTTCTCCTTGCTGTTTTACTTTTCAAGGTCATTAGATTTCATTTCAGCTGTTTCTTTTATGAAGGTTGTGTTACCATCCACTCTAGCACTTTGGCACTAGATTTATGGGGCCATAGCCTTAAAAATGATGATAATGATTCCAACCTAGAGGCTAAATCTTTTAGTTGTATTACTGAATTCAGGTTATGCTTGGGAATTTCCATAGACATGAATGTTCTTTCTGACTTTTAAATATACAAAAGCATTGAATGGTTGGATCAGCTGTCTGGTTCATTGTTAAACTGGATATCGTAGTAAGGAACAACCAAACAGTAAGCTGAACTCCTTACATGTGTCACATTTTTGGCACAATTTAGAGTAAACCTGGGATTGCAGTCATTGGGCTGGGCAAGAGTAACTAGGAAGCATTTGGAATGGCTCTGTATTATGACCATGTCACATCAGCATTATCTCTACCAAACGTATTTCTTACAGAAAAGTTGCTTAACTGTTGTTGTGCAGTATGATTAATAAAAAAAACGAAGCTTTGCCAAAAAAAAAACGCAGTTTTATTCCCAATTCCAGCTAAATGGGTTGCAATGTTAGAAAAAATATGAGAGACTTCTTATGGAGGGGTTGGAAGGAGGAATCTAAATGTCATCTGGTAAATTGGAAGAAAATCTGCACCTCCAGGGCCAAGGGGGGTTTAGGGATAAGATTGGTGAAGGATGTTAACACAGCTTAGCTAGGGATTAGGGGAATGGCTGTGGAGATTCAATGAACACACTGACAGTTTGTGGAGAAGATTAGTTGTCTCAAAATGCGGATCTGGTAACAGGGAGTAGGAGACATAAGAGGTAAGATTCTCCTACAGTTGTTCAGTATGGAAGGCAATCCAGAAAATTCATCCTCAGTTTTTGAAGGGCATAAAATATGAAATGGAAAGTTGCCATAGGGTGCTTTTCTGGAAGGATTACTGGTGTGGGGATGGCCCCATAATGACCCCATTGTACCTGGAACCCTCTGTTCAGGAGGAATTTAAACGTTTGGGAGGTGGAGTCTTTGATAAACTTGCCGCAGATTTCATACCACTCCAAGATCTCTGGTACAGGGGAGGACAAAAGGAAATGGTTGTGTGAGAATTCGGTCTCATTCTCAGTGAAATCCTTTTTCAATGGCCTATCAAGGGAGCATACCTCTCTCTTCCCGAGTAACATCTGGATCAGGTCTGTACTGATGTGAAGACTGCTAGCCATTTAATACTGCACTGTTACTTAGGAGGCAAGTTTGCTGGAGCTTTTTGTAGTTAAGTTGTGTTTCCCGGCTGATGTGAAGGGCTTTATAGAGGCTTGGTTCTGGGCAGTGTGGGGTGAAAGAAATAACAGACTTTTTGAAAGGAGACAGATGTCCAAAGAAAAAGTGCTCAACAGGATTCTGTTCTCGTGGCTGTCAAATCACTCACTTTTTAAAAACAGGCACACTTGTTCTTTTAAATCACTGATTACAATTATAATAGTGGAAATAGAAGTAAAAAATGGAATCTGCTATCACTGTCTAACCACTTAAATATAGTTATATAGTGACAGGAATTGTAATCAGTGATTTAAAAGGCGTGCCTTAGGCGCACAGGCGAGGCACATTTTGGGGTATGCGCCTCGCCCAGGTCCTAGGTGCACCCCTTTCAAAGGCGTGCACCTTTTGCCTTTTTTTGAGTCTAACGGCTGGGTTGGGGGCTCCGCCCCTGGACCCCCGACCACACCCCTCGAGGCAAGCCCCCGAACAAGTCTATGTTTGGGTTTGAAATTCTTATTTTGCACATGAAAAATAATGATTTCATAACTTTAATTGCCTTTTAAGAAGATATTTTATTCGAATGAATGAATAAACAACATAGACTTGTTCGGACTTCGGTGAGAGAGCGAAGCGAGCGAGAAATAAGAGTTCAAATCAGCCCCCCACAAGATTGCCCCCCATAACGTCCCACAACACATCACCGCCGTGTATTGGGAACATCTCCCAATGATGACATCATCATTTCTGGGATTATCATCGGGAGATGTTCCCAATACAAGGCGGGGATGTGCTGTGGGACGTTGTGGGGGGCTGATTTGGTCTTGAGAAATAAGAATTTCAAACCCTAACATAGACTTGTTCGGGCTTGCCTTGAGGGGCGTGGTACAAAAGCGACTCATAGAATCAAGAATGCAATATGTTTTACATCACATTAGCTACTTGAAGCAATGCAATTAAAAAAAAAAGAGAGAGATTGTGGACTTTACATGCTTGAAAATGCTTTATATGTTTGCTTTTATTTTTAAATTTTCATTTGAATACGCTTTACATGTTATGTTTATGTATTTTAATTTTAGATAATTGGTTTTTTTAAACATTTATTTTAAAATTTATGTATATTTTTTATTAACATTATGTTTAATTTTTTTTGAATTTTTTGCATTTTTTAAAAGTTTTTTGGCATTTTTTTTCGAAAATTTGACTTTTTTTACCTTTTTTTTTGTAGTTTTGTGCCTTTTTTAAATTGGCCCTTACGCCTTTTTTGCACCTTGTGCTTTTAAAACACTCATTGGAATAGTGGAAATAGAAGTAGCAACAGTGAAATAATTGTTCCTCTTTTCACATTTATGTTCTCACATGGATGTAAAGTTCAGTCATAGTTTCTGAGGATCTTGTGTAATGCAGTACTTGAAATAAAAGTGGACAATTTTAATAGCTCATGCATGTCTAAGTTTACATCCTAATGCTTTCCTTGTTGCATTTCTACAGAGTGATGGGAATGGTCATGTCTGGGTGCACAACAATAAGCAAGGTTTCCAGGACTGTGAAGCTTATGCTGTACTTGAGAGTTGGTTGGGTAATGAAGCTGATAAATATTGGGATGAAAATTACGATTCACTTCTCTTGGTATGTTATCAGTGTTTCCTCATTCTTGTGGTAATTTTGATTCTTCATTTTCTTTGTGGAGTGTCAACTCAATATTTGACCTTTAAGTAAATAGTGCTTTTAGTGCATGATCCAGTGTTCATATTTGTATAGGCGAAACTGTCTCTTTTATTTTTAGTGCATGATCCAGTGTTCTTTTTTAATTTTGAGATGTATAGGTGAAACTGTCTCTTTTATTCTATTAACTTGTAATACAAGAATATCGAAGCATGATCCCAACTTATAAGTCCATTGGAGGTATTTTCATAAATCCTTGAGATAGGATGAAGATTGAAGAAATTGTACTTATGTATGCTCTATTGCTTGAAATAGCATGACCCCAACTTGTACTGTCATATCCTCTATTGCTGTAGAGGGCCGTACTGCATCACTACCCCTCCCAAGACTCCTGATTGCTGGGACCAAGACTGCGTAATGGCATTTTATGATTTTCAAGACATTATACTTTGGATGGTGGAATCAGATGGTCAAAATCATCATCTAAGCCTTGCCAACTATGGGCATGTTTGGTAGCATTGCCATTTCCTAGAAAAATGGTGCCATATAAGTTCCAACTAAGTGTTTCTTGTTAGACGGTCTAATCTTCTGTTCGGTAATCCGTTATCTAAAAATCACATTTCCTCAGAACTCAAGAAAGTCAAGTTTCTGTGAAATGTCCTTCATGGTGTTTCTTGCTATGGCTCACTGTTGCTTGTAATTGTTGGATGATCAGGTGTAGATGTGGCAGCAACACTATGCTGTTAGCAAGCGACAATGTACCATGTACTAAATCAATCAAGATACAAAAAGTAAATGATTTTTCTTGTGAAATGTATAATATGAATGATATGGAGTTCGAGAATTGGGATAAAAGTACTGAGAATGCTCTAGTTTTTATATATTTTTGTAGTACAAAGCATGGCTATATTTGTGAGTATTCATATTTTAGTAGATTATGCATACCTTTACATGTAAATATGCTGAACATTTCATTCTGTATTTTTAATGATATCTATTCAACTCAACAAATTAACTGCTCACTCTGATGTTCCTAATGTATTATCCATTATAAGCAAAGTATGCACAACTAAGTTTCTCTTTCTTGTGCCCAAACAAGTGAATAACCATTATTTGAAATTTTAATTCGATTATAGATAGTCAACTTTTTAGCTTTTGGAGTATATGGAATTTGAAAATTTAATGAAGGATGAATTCTTCACTTAATTTTAGCAATAATTCTGTAGTTCTATATTGCATACAACTCAAATATTACCCCCCTCTCTTTGCCTGGTGTTCCCTGGTGCAATTCTGATTTATAGTTTACAATCATTAGAATCACCACCATGGTGCTAGTTGTGCCTAATGCCTTTACTAAAGACAATAAAAATAAAAATATGATGTAAGCTTTAGAGGTTAGGTTAATTTGAATATGATTTCTAGATGTATGATTTTGCATCTTGCAAAGTAAATCATGATGTAAACTTTTGTTTTATCATTGCGGGTAACTATGAACAACGATTCTTAATCATTTTTTGGTAAGTTATTATTTTGTTTTTTGATTGGTAGCATCACATGCTAATATTTTATCCTTAACCCTTTGGTAATCCAGGTGAAGGGTGATTCATGCTACAAACCTGATGAGGAGTGGGTGCAGTGTGACAAATGTAGAAAGTGGAGGAAATTGGAAAGTGGCTTTGATACCAGGAAGTTACCTCAAGAATGGTATATTCATATCATTTTTCTCTGTCTAGATTTCTGTAAAATCGTGATTGGTAGTTATACATTCGTGAGGGTGCTTGGATCTTTTAACAATGGTTGGTTGTTATCTTTAGATACTTTGGTCATTAGAAAATTGAATGACTGTACAATAAATAGGAATTATTTGTACTTTCTAGAATGCCATTCTGTATGATATGTAGTACTGGATTAGTGTCAGTCATAAGAAATAGAAATATTGAACTGGGATATAGGTTTCATCTAAGTGAATTATTTTTATCTGTTGGTATAATGTTTATTAGCGCACTAGTGAGCAGGAATGTTTTGACTGTAGGTTTTGCCAGTTGGAGCCTTACAATGGAAGTTGTAAAACTCCTGAAGAACTAGCTGAGCCTGGAGTGATTACTGTAGCTGCAAAGAGATCTGGATATGAATTGGATCAGAAGTATGCTACTTGTGAAGAAGCTATGCAGAAAGTACATACCACCGAACACAAATTATCAGGTAGGTTTTCGAAGTACGAACTTTTTTTTTGTCATTTCTGCATGCTAGGTTGGTTGAGTAATTTGAGGTTTTTATTTCTGCGTTTTAGGAAGAATAGGATCTGGGGCTGCATGAGAGATAAGGAGAAAACAAAAGGAGCTTTGTTTTAGTAATCCGATTAACTACTTTTAGACTTAAGCATAATAGAACACTGTCAGCAATTCATGAATTGGACGGGTTTTTGCAAGAAGAAATTGAATAGAACTGTATATAATTGGAAAACTTTGTAGAATATTTGGAATTGTTATAAATGCATTTGATGCCTAGATAATTAGACATAAAAGGCAAATTTTATCCAAAAATTTAATGTATCAGACACATTTTAGCTAGTGGCTATTGCTCAGTGAAGTGTGAGAATGTGGGTTTGAGTCAGTGGCCACTTTTTGAAGAAAAAAAAAATGACAAAGGTTCCTTATATTTTTGGAACTGAATAAAAAGTGTAAAATACAAAATTTTCCTATTTGGTATACACCAAGGAGCAACACTCTGTCATGGTTCAACATGGATCCTGTGCCCTGCATCCGTAGGTGTTAGTTTTCCCCAACAAATAACATCCTTCTGACTTTTGGCTTCTTGTTTGGATTTATCAGGTGATAGTGACGAGGACAGAAGTACATTGGAGGAGGATAATCAGGATGTAAAACATAGAGGAGTCGTATTGAAAAGGCTTAGAAGGGGTCCCGCAAGGGCCCATAAGAAGGCCTAGGAGAGGTAGAAATCTGCTGCGTTTTCACTGCTGTACAGGCTTTTTTGTTTTGGCTTCAGAGCATTACCATGTTGATGATTACTAGATCCTTGTGTCAATGTTAATCTATATAACATTGTGCCTTCTAGTTGCGTAAGATTTACTCCTGTAGGGTAATCATGGATGAACGTCATTTTCATTATCCAATCCACGCCAATTCTAGCTTTGGCCATAAACGGCTGCTGCTATTGTCTATGGACAACTCCGGTTCCTGGAAAAGATCTAATGTTAGATCCTTAGATCCATTGCTGCTTCCCGAATATAATCTTCCATCTTTCTCAGCCCAAAGTTTAAAGTACTGGGAACGCAAGGTTTATCGGAAATTGCCTTTCACGTTTGTCTTTTGGTGCGTAATTCTGGGTAGGGATGCAACTTGGGTGGTTTAGGGATTGGCTTTTTTTTGTCAAAACTTGACTGAAGCCCTGAGCCTAAAGCATTGTAAATTGCTAACTTGTGCCGAACCCAAATTGTACTATTGTAGCCCTACTCAAAGGATTAATTATAAGGTTCAAATTTGAATTTGAAAAATTGTTTAAATATAGAACGTACCACTCACATATGAAAATAAACCAAACATTGGGTTTCCATATGTACCACGTTCAGGCCCTTTTGCTGGGTATCGGCCAATGCGGCCTGATAGATTGCCAAATTTTAAAACTTGAATGAAACAATGTGTTCAGATCGTTAAAAGTTAAAACTTGGCGATGAAGGCTGAACTGAACTAGTGATATCTTGGATTCTTGGGTTCCCTTGGCAAGTGGTGTATCTCTCGTAGTCATAATAATTAATGCTACTTTGGTATTTAAAGATCGTCCCATTTAGGGCTGTTCACAGGTCGGGTTGGGTCGGTTTATTGATGTTTTTCCAATCGACTTGACCTGGTCGGGTTACCTGAAATTGAAACCAAAATCGATCCTGTGTTAAGCAAAACTGACCTGATCGGTTTGAATCGGTTTGGGTCGGTTTCAGCTCTACTTAGTGGTGACTTAGTTGTTGTACAACCTAACTTAACTAGGATAGAGACAACTTAGTTAAGTAGGAACTAAGTAGGTTGTAATTATTAACTAGGAATTAAATACTAAGTTGGTTTGGTGTGAACTGAAACCGAACCGAATCATTGGTTTATGATTTTTTATAACCCGAAACTGAACGATGCTGAAGAAAACCCGGCCAACTCGGATTGGATTGGTCTGGGTTGGGTCTTCTTATGAACAGCCCTAGTCCCATCACTCCATGTAGTTTAAACGGGTTGAGAGAGAGGATTTGGGGTCCCATCATATAGTACCTTCCTATTTAGGGCCTTAGGCTGAGGCTTAAACGTCCTTGATGGTGTCAAGCTCCCCAGACCAATTTAAAGGTTTTGTTTTGACATCTTCATTGGAGAATATTTGTTGAAATGCAAATGAACATGTGTTAATGACAAGAAAAGAAACCCTCTTCTTCAAATGACAAAAGATGCTTCTATGCACTTCAAATCATCAACCAATACAGCCCTGACGAATTCAGGAGAGAGAGAGAGGTCCGGCTTACATTGAAACCAAACTTTTCTAGTGTGTGTAACTCTATTAACCATACGTGGTAGAGAGTAGAGACATTTAAAGAGTGGAAATTAAGCTTTGGATGAAATCAGTTTCCACTCTTGTTTGTATGAATTTTCTAGTTTTTTTTCTTCCCTATTGAAGTCCAAATTTGTAGAAGTAATATGATGACGTTCTATTAGCTAATGTGATGGATCAAACATCTGATTGGAGATCTTTGGTAGGCAAGCATATGCAACAGGGAATTCTTAACTCTATTTCTGAAAATAAGAGATGTTGAAGGCTTTAAGCTGGATTCAAAAAGTATGGAGGAAGTTGAGTGATTTTCCCAATTCTCAGCCATTTTTCCTTTGCTACTGTTTCTCTCTTTATTTTGGGAACAAGGTCTTGGAATCATCTACAAAAAAAACGGAGGATAATGTGTATATTTCAAACATCTTCACTTCCCCATGAAAAATGAAATATGTGTATAATATCTCTCTGTTGATTGTGAACAAATACAAAGCTCCAAACGTTACATCATCATCCCAACTAAAATAAAAATATATGAAAATAGTAGATCTTATCCTATGAACTGTCGAATCGAGCTCACTATCCTGTGTCCATTTATTGTTTTATCTTTAATTTCCAAGCTAACTTTTCCTCTCATTTCAGTTCTCTTGGCACAAAGGACAAATAAAAAACTAATTCTTAGGGTATTTTTCTAAGTAAAAGATATTAAAATTTTGTATAAAAGTAAATCTTCGATCAAAGGAAGATGGGTATGGGTTTGATGTGGAATGAGACTAGGAAGAATCTACAAGCCTTACAATAGAATGCATGACATATCATACGATTGGGTTTGATTGAGACAATATTTGTTCCATTGATAAAGGATGGACCAGGTTTGGGTTAAAACCAATTTAAATTAAAACAAATTTCAATAGATTGAATGGTCTAGACATTTAATTTGACTGGTCCAAAATATTCATTAGATTGGATTGGATTGGACCTGGTCTATTTGTAATGGATTCACATTGAATTGGATTGGATTGGATCAAATCCAGTCCAATTGACCCCCCTACCATTAGATGAGAGATCAGTATACTACAGTAGGGGTGAGCATGGGTTGGTTCAGTTTGATTCTATGATAGAACCTGGAACCTACCCTGTTGGGGTTGATTCTGGGTTTTTGGAACTAGAACTTATCCTGTGAAGGTCGGTTCTAGTTTTGGTGATTCTAGGGTTTACTCGTGGAACCTATTCTTTTTTTACTCCTCCTTAAAAAAAAAAACATGTTCTTTGAAAACTTGATTATTAGTAAATATAATATATAGTTTAAAACTTATATTATCTTTATTTATTAAAGTGAGTAACTTAATATATAGATTATCATTATATGGTTTAAAACTTATAATTTAAATTTAAATGTTGTAAATATTACTTTTTACATTACTTATTGTACACATTCAAATATTAAAATGAAAAAAAAATGATGGAATAACTTAACTCAATGGTCAAGTGAGACTATGACCTTTGTAATCATGAGTGATTGGGTACAAATCTTCACATCACCAGAAGTATTTTGGGGTTTATTTCAAGACAAGTTTGATTCCAAGGTAGGTTCCTCCAAGGCTAACCAATGTCGATTCATTGGGTTGGTTCAGGTAAGGTAAACCCCTAACCTTGGAATTGGCCTAGGTTGGGATCAGTTCCAAGAATTTGAAATTAGACCCTACCCTTAACAGATTGGGTAGGGTTGGTTAAAGGCCAATTTGAGGTTGGTTCCATTCAGTTTCAGCTGGACCCTACCCATTTGCTCACCCTTATAGCATAGGGAGGTATCACATTTCATTCAAAGTTTTAGGTAGCAATGCCAATACCAAACACATTACTGCTCAAAACACTTGTTCAATACCTACTCAACATAAGTGACAACCAAACAAGCTTCATGTCAAAATTCCAATTTGGAATTTTGACATGAAATGCATTAGGTTCTGTCTGGGAATAGTTCAAATAGAGTGTAGTCAAAACACCTATTTTGGCATTTTGACATGAAATGCATTAGGCTCTGTTTTGGGAAGAATGCAAATATAAATATGTAGAGTGCATTCTGCTCCATACAAACGCAAAGTTGATTTAGTTTTGCAATATGATTTTATTTTCCTAGATTAAAAAGTACCTTTATTTTATATTGATCAACTTCGAGGGCAAACTTTGCATTCATTTTTTGGATGCAAATTTTGCTCTCATTTTGAATGCAAATATGCCTTGAAATTTGTACAAATTGTCACTTTTGGTACATAAATTCATTCTTACCAAAACCCTACAAAGATGAACTAGAGTGCATATATGCACTTAAGTGGCATGTTCACTCTTCCCAAATGGAGCCTTACCTCTCTAAACATTTGAGCTTAAAGTGGCAATTGTACCAAAGACAGCCAATAACCACTACAACAACATTTTCATCTATTGAGACCCACCATCTTATAAGTTCCATAACAGGTGTTTGTTTGATAGGGTTTTGACACAACAGCTCCTAGCATTGAAAGGTGGATCCTGATGAAGGAAGATTTGGCCCGACCTCGCAAACACGCCACGTGGCAAAAAACAAGTAGCTCGGCACTTAAAGCAACGTACCCAGGGTGTAAACACCAAAGGGAAGAAACCAGCAGTCTGAACTCCCCTCGAGGAGACCGAACTCCCTTTGAGGAGCTTGAACTCCCTACGAGGAGCTCGACCTACCTACTAAGAGCTCGAACTCTCCCTTTAACCCCGAGCCACACAAAGCAATGACCCGAACTGGCCCGCCTCATGGCAGTTCGGGACACTCCCCTATCCGAACTCAAGACTTTGCCTCGCACACCGCTCTAGCACTTCGCCTCCAGAACACCGAACTAGACAAACCACACCGTACCTAACACCGAAGGAGTCCGTATCCAGGGGCGGCACACCTGACTGACTTGGGATCT